CCTGAGAGGGACTTGGAGCTTTGCAAATGTTCTCATTTTGCAGATGGAAATGAGGCCTGGGGGAGTTAGATGGGCCTCACTGGACTTCCTGCTTGTTAATGGCAGTACTGTTGCCTCTGACGCCTACAATTGGACTCTGCCTCCTGCAATGATGTTTCCCAGAAAGGATAAAGCCACCTCCTACTCCCCCCACCCTTTACTTCTGGTTTAAGATTCTATGGTCTCAGCTGCAGGAACAGAAAGAGTTGTCAAGCTGGCTCTACCAGAGGCTGAATGGAAGAGGAGACTACGGAACAAGCTCATGTCATAATCAGTATTTACCCAGGACTGCTCGGTATCTAGCCTGGCTAAGAGAGGCTCCCTGGCCTTCAGGAATTTTCCATATCTTTTGGGAAAGAAGATGTACACAAGTTAATAGTTAGAGCGAGGTCCTACTGTGTAAGATTAAAGCATAAATGAGTGGTTGAGTAAAGCCGTCGTGGCTAGGGAAGGGATGGGATGTTCTGGAGGCCATGGAGCTTGGGTGTAAGGTCTAAGGGCTGAGAAGAAGGCAGAAGACCTAGGTTAGAATAGTAGGGTCCTGGTTTGTGTTTCATCCTGCTGGTATTAAGGGCCTTGGGAAGTTTCTGTGGGAGGTGGGATGGGATCCAGTATTGACTAGATTTAGGAAGACCAATATGGTAGCAACAGTGTGGGGAATGACTGGAAGTAGGAACTTTATGGAGGGCCCTTAGGACATAAAAGTTTGGAGCAGGTGATGGCAGTTGGAAGAGAAAGAAGAGGAAAATGTAAGAATTTCAATTTTTAAGCAACCCCTCACCCCCCCCAAAACCAACACTACCTGCCAGGTGCTATTCTAAATACCATAACAAATCTGAACTCATGTGACTTTCCTGAATTAGATACAATTGTTATTTCTGTTTCACAGATGAGGAAACTAAGACACTGTTATGTCAACTAACATGCCCAAGGACACATGCTAATAAATGGTAGAAGCAGGATTCATATCCAGGCAGGGGAGCTTCCAGGTCTCAGCTCTTAACAACCACCGTGTGCTAGAGTGGAATGTTGAGAAGTAAAAGTCATGATGAATCCAAAGTTTTTCAAGCCTGAGTGACTTAGCAAATGTTAATGCCATTGATGAATGGCATCAACATACATCAAATAGGAGTATTATTAGCCTGTGGGAAAGAAGATACCTTTGGGTTTTTATACATTTTGTTTAGGGTGACAAGGATGCATCTGAGTAGAATGTCCCATGGTAAATTACAACAGAACAAGCTTGGGAAAGATATGTTTACCAGGTTTATTTTTTTCTTTCAGTCCTCGAAAATGTGCCAATTCCTTCTGGCTTCCATGGTTTCAGATGTGAAATCTGCTCTTATTTGAATTGGTATTTGCCTATAATTAAGGCATGCATCATTTCTCTCTGGTTGCTCTTAAGATTTTTTGTTAGTTTCCAGAAGTTTAATTATGCTGTGTTTTGATGAGCATTTCTTTAGATTTATCCTAATTCAAATTTATAAAGCCCTTGAATCTGTAGGTTTCATCTTTCACCAAATTCAAGTTTTCAGCCGTTATTTTTCTGAACATTTGTTTAGCCCCACAATTTTGTTCATTTCTTTCTAGGATTCTGATGATAGCAATGTCGGTATCTTTTATTACTGTTTCACAGACTCCTTGTCTTTCCCCAATCTCTTTCCTCTATGTTTATCAGACTGAGTACATTTGATTGACCTGTTCTCAGTTCAGTGATTCCATTTTTTTTTTTTTTTGTCATTTCTACCACTGAACCCATCCAATGAGGACTTTTGTTGTTGTTTTTTGGTTTTTTGGTGGTTGTGCTTTCAGTTCTATAATTTCCACTTGGTTCTTTTTTGTAACTTCTATTTCTTTGATGAGGTTTTATAGGTTTTCATTTGGTTCAAGGGATTTCATAATTATTGGTTGAAATGCTTTAAAGTCTCTATCAGATAGGGGTCTCTGGGTGGCTCAATCAGTTAAGTGTCTGATTTCAGCTCAGGTCATGATCTCATGGTCTGTGGGTTTGAGCCCTTTGTCAAGTTCTGTCCTGACAGCTCATAGTCTGGAGCCTGCTTCGGATTCTGTGTCTCACTCTCTCAACCCCTACCCTGCTCATTCTCTGTGTCTGTGTCTCAAAAATAATAAATAAAAATGTGAAAAAAATCTCTGTCAAATAGTTTCAACTTCTGATTCAACACAGTGTCTTTTCTCATTCACATTGTAATTTTCCTGGTTCTTGGTAAGACAAGTGATTTTTTACTGTATTATGGACTTTTGCATATTATGTTAGGAGACTCTTAATCTTTTTTTAAAAATTATTTTAATGTTTATTTATTTTTGCAGGAGAGAAGACAGAGGTGAGTGGGTGAGAGGCAGAGAAAGACGGAGACACAGAATCCAAAGCAGGCTCCAGGCTCTGGGCTGTCAGCACAGAATGCGACGTGGGGCTTGAACTCACAAGCCATGAATGAGGTCATGACTTGAACTGAAGTCAGACACTTAACCAACCAGTTAAGTGTCCAACCAGTAGTTGGACACTGTCCAACCAGTAGTTGGACACTTAACCAACTACCCAGAGGCCCCAGGAGACTCTTAATCTTATATAAATCTTCTATTTTAGTAGACAGCCACCTTGTTGTTGCTTTGCTTTTAAGGTTTACTTTTGTAGTCTATAGTTTCAATGACAATTTTCGGAGCCCTTGCAGTACTGTTCTGGTCTACTATGTTCTGGCTTTGTTTAAGCTCCCACTAGATCCCTGCATGTGATGCCTACATGGGTATCCTTGGGCAGATGTAGGGGGATGTCCTAGGTCACCATCTATCATTGTGTGGAGGGCTGGGAGACATTGGGCCTGCAGGTACTACTAGTACAGGTGAACGTATCTATATCATTCATATTTTATTCTAGCATTTTTATGATTTTATCTTTTTACTTTGAAAACAATGTTTTATGGGCAGCACCTGGGTGGTTCAGTCGACTAAGCGTCCAACTTCGGTACAGGTTATGATCTCATGGTTCATGAGTTTGAGCCCCGCGTCAGGCTCTGTGCTGACAGATATGTGCCTGCTTCAGATTCTGTCTCCCTCTCTCTCTCTGCCCCTCCCCAGCTCACACTCTCCCTCCCTCTCTCTCAGGGGCAGAGAGAGAGAGATCCCAAAGCAGGCTCCACACACTGCCAGAGCAGAGCCCCATACAGGGCTCAAAACCACAAACTGTGCAATTGTAACTTGAGCTGAAATCAAGAGTTAGAGGCTTAACCAACTGAGCCACTCAGGCGCCCCTTACTTTGAGAATTTTAATCCACCTAAAATTCATTTTGATATCAAGAATGAGGTGAAGAATTTAGACTTTTTTGTACTCTCCTCCCCCAGTTGGGGAGCCAGTTATTCTAAAACCATTTGCTAAGGGGCACCTAGGTGGTTCAGTGAGTTAAGCATCCAGCTTCGGCTCAGATCATGATCTTGTGGTTCATGAGTTCAAGCCCTACATCAGCTCCACACCGGCAGTGCAGAGCTTGCTTGGGATTCTCTGTCTGCCTCTCACCAACTTGCATTCTCTCTTTCTCAAAATAATAAATAAATAAACTAAAAAAAATTAAAACTATTGCTAAAAACTCCACCTTCCCTTGCAAATCTGAAATGTTACCTTCATCAAATAAAATACATGTGCATTTAGGTTTATGGGCTGAACTCTCTTTCTTTGATTTGTCTACTTCGGTTTTGTTGCTGCTTTCGTTACTGTAAGTTAAAAATGTTTTCATGTTTGACAAGGCTAGTCCCTTCTCTTTAACTTGCTGGCTATTCACATCTGTTTTGCCTTTTAAAAGGGTTTGCAACACAGCTACAGGGTGAAGAGAGGCAAAGGATAAGGTGCCTGGGTGGCTCAGTTGGTTAAGCAACCAGCTCTTGATTTCTATTCAGGTCATGATCTCACAGTTCATGAAATCAAGCCCTGAACTGGGCTCTGCGCTAAGTGTGGAACCTGCTTGGGATTCTCTCTGGGCCCCTGCCCCGCTTGTTCTCTCTCTCTCTCACTCTCTCAATAAATAAACATTAAAAAAAAACTTAAAAAATAAATAGAGGTGAAGGAAGATGTGGGTTGACCTGATGGAAGCTTCCTGGAATACTAATTCCAGGAGAGAGATGGGGGATACAGAGGGTAGAATAGATTCTCCCATTATATTCCAAATTTCAGTCATTTCCTGGCATACCACCTTTATAATTTTTGACATATTGTCCACAGTATTAACTTTTTCACTAATTCACTTTAAAATTTAAGTATATTGGGCTTATCCTACGTGCTCTCTGTAAAAGCACAGATTAGATACAGTAGGTATATATTTTTCTAATAATAAACAAAACAGATAACCATGAAAAAAACACTATTTGTCCATGTTGCACCCACAGTTATTCTGTATACTGCCAACAGCTCCAGAAACACGTGGCTTGAGCAAACCATCCTCATCTGTTCTCCAGCTGGAAACTCGGAAAGGAGCCACCTGGGCTGACTGATCATCTCTGCATTGTCTTGTGCTAATTGCTGGTAGTAATATCTGCGCATGTGCGATCACACAGGTCATGCAAAGAAACGACTAGTGAAGTGAGTAACAGTCATACACACATAAGACACTGGTGGCAGTTTCTCTTTTTTGGAGTTCTGATGTTCCTACGAGCAGATCCACGCTCGAGGAGACCTCTGAAAAGGGCCACAGATGATATCATAGGCCAGTGAGAATGTTCACGGGATGATAAGACGTTGGGGAAGTGATCTGTAGGGCAGAGACAGACAATAATGCCAAAGGCCAGAGCCTTAATACCCTTATCTCTTAGTCTTTATTAAAGCTAAACAGAGATAAATGGAAAATGCCATCCCAACGTTGTGAAGATCAAATTAGAGAGCGAGATTGCAGGGAATCAAATATCTTGTACTGACCTGTCACAAGCAGTTACTTAGATACAAGCAAACACACACCACACTTTTTTTTTTCCACCCTAAGATGATTCTAGCTTCTAGATTTTTAAATTCTCTGGTTTCAGAGTCTACCTCTTCCTGAGCACCCTCAGCGCTGATAATAATGAAGGGTACAAAATAACCAATACTGAAATCTCAGTGCCAAACAGAAGCTGCTGCTTCCTGGCATGGAGATTCAAATAGCTTCCATCTTCTGTCTTTTAAAAAAAAGTATAAAACAATCCAGTTTCCTTCTGTTGGTGGCCATGGAAACTAATCTCCAATATTCCTTTCAGTGGCTGAATAACACTAAAAATGACAGCATTCTTCCAATGCATCTATTAATTTGAGCCACGCTAAAATTCAGCCTGCACATTTTCAATTCTAAGTGCCACTGGTTTCATGATTATTTGGGGGGGGGAGGGTAGTGGAGGGCGGGCAGCTGCATAGGAGAAGCTCCTCGGGACACATTCACACAATGGCTTGTCAGAGGGAAACACGGAGTCATTTTCTTCAAGTAGCTCTCAAAGACCTGCTCATTTCAGGTCTCCTTCCAAGATGCTTCTGCACTTCAGTGTGAAACACTGTTTCTTACCTCTGATTTTCCCAGCCCTGAAGGCCTTAGTATGTAATCCCTGACCTTTCAAAGCCTGTGTTCTCCCCTCCGAGAGTCCCCAGGAGACCTGCCTGAGAGGGTTCACTCACTCAAGGCCGATCCATTGCAAGCGGAGATTACACACTCCGTTTCTTGGCAGGCATATGGAGCCTAAGGCCAATGAAATTTCACCCCAAGTTTCTCAAAATCTAACTGCACAGCATTGCCAGCCTCATCTTGTTGTTTCCCCAGACAAACAATAGAACTCTTTCTGCCAATGTAATTTATTTGAAGGGCTGCCGAGGCAGGGCTGTACGAGGGCTCCAGTTACAGCTTCCAAGAGCTCAGTGCCAGGTGATGTCATTCTACCACCCGAGTCTCAATCGGGGGTGGGGTGGGGGGTCAGGACACGGCCGTGGAGCAGAGCATCTGCCAGCGCAAGCCGGCACCGGCTATTTAAAGCCACTCCCTGGTGGAGCAAGGATGGGACGGGTGAGGGGCCAGCTGCTCCAAGGGTGACAGAGGGTGCGGGCAGAAGGCAAAAATGACAGGGAGGCGTCCACCTGGGCAAAGGAGTCCTTGTTCTCTTCCGCCACAGACTGCCAAGGCCGCGTCCCATCAGCCTGTCATGGCATAACTAAACTGACGCGTCCTTCAGTAGGTGGCGCACATTTGTTTCCTTCACACCTTCCACGTTGGCAATCTGGTGGAGACCAAGAGCCCCTCCCCCCCACTTTTTTTTTTAAATTTGCAAATCTTCGCTCTTATTTTAGATGATCCAAATGTTCCTTCCACACCCTGTCAGAATTACAAAACAGGGAATTCTGGCTTTGGAGAGGCAAGGGTATGAGGAAGATATGGTGTCCTTTTTGGAACCGTATTTAAATCTTTATGTTATTTTGGGAAATACATTCTCAGTCACATGGTCTCAGTTTTACAACTTGGTATAATTCTTATGCTTGATTTGGCACAGAGCTTTAAATCCTTTAAAAAACTCATCTAATGAAGAAAGCCTGTTCCCTTAGGTTAGGATCCCCCAGAAGTAGACTCTGAGTCAAGGATTCAGGTACCAGGGATGTATTAAGGAAACACTCCTGGGAGACACCAGTAGATGAATGGGGGGAGTACAGGGAAACAGCAGGCGCTGAGCAAGGATTTCATGTGAAGTCCCAGTCTTGGCCTGATCCAGAGGGGAGCTCTGGAGAGTCAATTATGCCTCAGAGCATGCCCTTGGGGCAAGGAAGCTGTGCTTCTGGGTTCCACAGTCAGTCACTGGTCTTAAGTCAAAGGGAGTGGTAGGGTGGGGTGGCAGGTGGTGTGGACACAGGGGGCGGGACATACCGGTGTGTGTCGGGGGTGGCTGGACACACAGAGCAGCCGGCAAGAGAAGCTGAAGGGGAAGTGGGTGAAGCACTAACAGTGTTGACCATTGGACCACCCTCCATGCTGCCTGCTCTTACCACCAGGCACTACTTAAAGGTCTTTCATCACATTCTGCTGCAAGAGGAAATGGATGATATCTTTTGAAAGTCCCGGGGTTGGCTTTTCGTCATCCAGAGACACACCTCCTTCTCCCAGTGGGTAGAAGTGGACGGCCCTGGAATGCTTCCGTAAGACCGAGCAGCCATCCCGGCTGAAGATGACCCGGGCCATTTGGAAACTGCGGAGGGCATACTTTCGGGTCTCCTGGGCCTTCAGTTTGTTGATTTTCTGAGACAGGCACCGGCAGACTGATGCGGAGAGTGGATCTCCAGAGGCCAGCTGTGGATGGCCAAACATTTCATAGAATCTATCCAGGGATTTCCGAAGCCCATCATCCTCTGCCTTGGTCTTCACCTGGCCCTTCACAGAAGGGTCCAGCCAGAAGGTCTCAGAGGTCCAGGAATCATTTTGTTCAGAATTTAGGTTATTGATATCTGCAAGACAAAACACATTCCAATACTTGAACACATATTTAAAAAGGCCAGAAGCACATGATGTTTCTTCAAGTCACCTCCTGCTCCTGGGTGACTGGCAATGGGCAGGATTAGCCAATTTTGGAAGTGATCCCCACCATCCTAGGGTTATGCCACTCGTTTGCTCAAAACAAGAACACCTTATTTGCATGTTTTAGGGGTTCTTAATCTATGGTCTTTGTATAGAAGTTCAGGATAGTTGTGAATTTGGGTGGGGAGAAAAATCATATCTTTATTTTCACTAACCTCTACCAGAAATTAAGCATTTCCTTCCATAATAAATGTAGGCAACAAAGTTACTGGCAGCAGTACCTATGACTTTGTTGTCAATGGTTCACAGCTATTTTCATATCAATTGTAGTCTGGAGGTGTTTTAAAATATCATTTATGACATCACTATGCTATGGACTGAAGTGTGGCCTTCCAAAATTCACAGTAGAAGCCCTAGTCCCTAATGAGACCGGATCTGGAGATGGGGCATTCAGGAGGTCATTAAGGTTAAATGAGGTCATAAGGGTGGGGGGCTAACCTGATAGGAGTGGTGGTCTTATAAAAAGAGGAAGCGGTCGGGGCACCTGGGTGGCTTAGTCGGTTAAGCGTCTGACTTTCGCTCAGGTCATGATCTCGCGGTTCGTGGGTTCGAGCCCTGCGTCGGGCTCTGTGCTGACTGCCAGCTCAGAGCCTAGAGCCTGTTTCAGTCTGTGACTCCCTCTCTCTCTGACCCTCCCCTGCTCACGCTGTCTCTCTCTCTCTCTCCTAGAAATAAATAAAACATTAAAAAAAAAAAAGAGGAAGCGGTCTCTCTCTCTGTCTGTCCATGTGCAAGACTGCGATGAGAGGACACAATGAGAAGGTGGCCGCCTCTAAGCCAGGAAGCCCTTCCCAGAGCCCAACCATGCTGGAGCCATGATCTCAGACTTCCAGTCTCTGGAACTCTGAGAAAATAAATTTCTGCTGTTTAGGCCACCCGGTCTACGGTATTTTGTTATGGCGGCCCAAGTAGACTGAGACACAGTTACTAGTCCTGATACTAGATCTTATTATTTAAGCATTAATTAAAAAAACATATTCCTTACAATATTTTACTTTTGTTCTTTAACTATTTTAATAACTACATTTCAATATTTTTCCCTCAGTTATCCTGTATATTTTAATTTTTGCACTTAAAAACATTATTCTAAGAAAAGGTGGGGAAGGCTTCACCAGATGCCAATAGGATCCTTGGCACAGATACAGTAAAGCCCCCTAATGTAGGCAGTGCTGGGCATTTACACAGTTTAGACATTTTCTTTTTCTGCTCCCTACAACAATCCTATGGACTCTTTATCTCTCAATTAAAATCACCACCTTCCTGTTTTTTAAAGGAGTAACAAATAAACTAAGTGATTTAATAATAGACAATAAAAAGCCAGAACTAGAGCCAAATCCTAGTCCTTGATCTAACTTTCTATACCTCTTTGGAAACCCTAATTATTTTTTTAATGTTTATTTATTTATTTTTGAGAGAGCACGCGTGCACGTGAGAGAGAGAGAGCACGCAAATGCAAGCGCGTGCAAGCATGAGCAGGGAAGGGGCAGAGAGAGAGAGAGGGAGACAGAGACTCCCAAGCTGACAATGTGTTCTAGAAAATATTCCACACAAATAATTTACAAAACTCCTATACACCAACCAGTTTTAATTTTTAAAATTGTATACATTAGGAGAAAATGTATTTTCCGTTTTTGCTCTGATATAAGCTTTAATAAATTACTAGCTTTAATTCCACACATACGTCCCTCTCCCCCACTGACTCAACTAGTAGCTGTGATAAAAATATTTGTACTTACTAATGATGAAGAAAGTTGTGTGATGCAGTGGATGGTTTTAGAAAAGGAGAAGGGATTTACGGTTTTGACTCTAGTTTGGCTACCAGACAGACATCATACCACCTTGCTGAGCTTTAGCGTTCTCATCTACAAGAGTTTTAGTAAATGGTCTCTCTTCTAGAAAATCTATGGTAAAACAAAGAACAGGGGAGTAGGTAATCCAAAGCACCCAAGAAGAATGTGGACACATGGTGTGAGACACACACAGGCCCACACACGGATGAGAATTTACTAGTCCACCACACAGGTAGCCCAAGAACAAAGCACTCAGCCACCTTGAAGACTGGCTGATTCCAGGCTGGTTAAGGACAGCGCAAGATGGGCCTGGTACAGCTTACTTTCTAGAATGCTCAAATATTGGTGGAGGCTTGTCAAGTGGGGAGCAGAAGCCAGCTCGAAAGGGATTACCTGGCCACATCTGGAACAACTTAAGCATCAAAATAAATCATGAGAGTACCTGTAACTGATGGAAGCCCATTTATTAAAATAGAAAACCATAAATCCATAAAATAACTGCTAGTTTGCTGAGGAACAGGATATTTACAGTCTCAGAGCACTTCTCCATAAATTACTTACGAGTTACAAATGGGAAAATAATAACTTCAGAGTGGAGAAACATGGTGCCTTAATATTAATTAATATCACCTTAATCAAGTGACCGAAGTGAACATCACCAGTAATGGGACAAATCGAAACCCTGTTGCCACCTGACCAGATGCAGGAGGAAGACCCAATACCACTTCTCTGATAGTCCTGCCGAAGGTGCAGCACCTGAACCCAACATCGAGGAATATTCTACAAACTGAAGAGGCCTGTACTCTTCAGAAGTGCCACGGTCCTGAAAACCCAGAAAAGACTGAGCAAGGCTGTTCCACACTGCAGAGTACCAAAGAGTCACGACAACTAAAAGCAACACATGATTTTCAATAGGATCTTCTTTTTTTTTTTTTTTTTACAAATAGTTTATTGTCAAATTAGTTTTTACATAACACTCAGTGCTCATCCCCAAAGTGCCCTCCTTCATGCCCCTCCCCCCCTCCCCCCCACATCCATCAGTCCTCAGTTTTTGTCAGCATTCAAGAGTCTCTCATGGTTTGCCTCTCTCCCTTTCCCCCACCATTTCCGCCCTTCTTCTCCCCCTTGGTCCTCCGTCAAGTTCCTCCTAATCCTCCTATACGTGCAAACATATGGTATTTGTCCTTCTCTGCCTGACTTATTTCGCTCAGCATAACACCCTCAAGGTCCATCCATGTTGCTACACATGGCCAGATTTCATTGTTTCTCATTGCCATGTAGGATCTTCTTACTATAAAGAATGTTACTAGGGGGCGCCTGGGTGGCTTAGTTGGTTAAGTTTCTGACTTTCGCTTAGGTCATGATCTCGCGGTTCGTGGGTTTGAGCCCCGCGTCGGGCTTTGTGCTGACTGCCAGTTCTGAGCCTGGAGCCTGTTTCAGTCTGTGACTCCCTCTCTCTCTGACCCTCCCCTGCTCACGCTGTCTTTCTCTCTCTCTCCTAGAAATAAATAAAAATCTTTAAAAAAAAAAAAAAAAAAGAATGTTACTAGGATCACCTGAGTGGGGTGTGAGGCTCAGATGGTAGTAATATATCCTATGAACTTCCGGATTTTGATAGTTTCATTGGGTTATGTAGGAGAATATCCTTGTTTATCGGAAAATCAGGGGTGGTGGGCACCTGGCTGGCAACTTACTCTCAAGTAATTCATGAAAATAAAAAGCTCTCTGTATTGTACTTGCAAGTTTTCTATGAGTTTGAGATTCTTTCAAGAAAAATAATTAAACAATTACAGAATTATTTAATTAAATATTGAATTCCTCCCCTGGAGGAATAATTGTTAAAACTTCCTTTGGTGGTCTACTTTAATATTAACACAAACAAATAAACAAAAGCCTTAGCCCAGGGCTTGCTGAACAGTACTTGCCTAGCAAACGGTACTGTTATAGAGCCAAGGAGAGAAGGGGCCAGGCAAGGGGTCCCACAATAGGGGGATGAGGTGTCTCTTCCCACCTTTTTCCCCAAAGATGATCTAGTCCTGGGGAAGTAAGGCAGGAAGACAGGGGCTGAGAAGGGTCAATGGGAAGAGTTAAAGAGAGAGGGAAAATCCTCAGCGGTAACACTGAAAAGGCTGGAGAGTTCCTGAAATTGCCCACCTGAGGCAGCCATTTATACAGAACCCTCCACGTAGCATAGCATGTACTTATTAAGGAACTGGTCAATAACTTTGATTTGAGCCTAAAGAGCCTAAAAAACTAGCTTGTCTCTTCTGTTTTTCATGTAAATATCAAGCAGCTCATCTTCAAAGAAACCCTCCTTCCCTTTTCCAGAAAAGCAATGACAACGTGGGCTATTTACCATATCAGTTCTTTTGAACACTGTCTCCAGCTCATTTCAGTCTTTGATTTCCTTTAAAATCCGCTTTACCATCAACAACAAAGCCATCTCTCTAATCATGTAGCTGTTGTGGCCTTTGTGATACCTGGGATTTCTTTGCCAGCAAATAGAGCTAATTGCTTTTCTTTTCCTCATGCACCTACGTGTGTACAGAATGATGATCTTTGATAACTCAGCCAGTTCCTGCTCAGTGATACATCCTCACAGCTATGTTCAAACTTCACTTTAATCTTATATTAATATGGGCCAGACAAAAACATCCCCAGCTTGCAACTTGGGATGGTAATGTCTACGCCAGGGAGAGCTGGGGATGTTTTTGTGTCAGTGATTGGAAAAGCGGCTGTATTTAGTGAGTGGGATCAAGGATGGAAACATCCTGTAAGGCACAGAGCAATCCCATACAACAAAGAATCGTCCTCCCCAAATCACAATTATGCCTGCTACCCCTTGAGAGGAACGGTGGCTCAAAGGATGGATTCTGCAAAGAGTGGGAAGTGAATGGTGAATCCCACTGCATTGTAATATATTGCTTTGCGTTAGGCTCCCCAAGGTATCTTTGCTATTGTTCCCTGCACAATCAATGCCTTTCTTGCTGGCATCCATTTGTACCATGCATCCTTCTCTTCTCAGACCTTGAAATGGCATTTTATTTTTCTCAGCAAGGGCCCCAGTCCCATGAGTTTGG